CACACAGACACACAAATGCATTTAGAAATAGTACAAAGATCAGTTAGACGGAGCGATTACCAAGTCGCAGGATATATAATTAGACGGGTGGTCACCGAGAGGTGATTAAAAAAATAATTTTTTAGTAAGAATTTTATGACACTTGCAAAACACTTAGGTCATAATACAAGTGCCAAAGATTAGAAGTGTTACAAGAGAATAACAGAATAACATGCACAAAAAGATAGACGAAGGATAAGGACGAAGAGATATTTGATAGGAAAGAAATAGAAAACTACACCAGAGCCTCTGCCAACCACTCACAAGGTGTTCTTTACTCCTTCAACCAAGCTCACATTACAGAACGCTGTACCGCGGCAAACAGCATTGGTTTATCTGCTTGCAGCATTTTTCTGATGGTAAGTGTAACTTATGTAGGGCCATAGGCTTTTGCCTAAATGAATAGATCAATTAACTAATTAATTGATTGATTTATTGATTGATTTTTATCTAAACTTTTTGTATTCTTTGCATGCAATTTGTAATGCAGATTTATTTCCATAAAAAGGATGAAGGAGCGATGAAACAAAAGAGAAAAGAAAAACAAAACATCATACCAGAGCTAAGGTCATTACAAAGTGTCCATGAGAACTTTCGCGTAAAACCTGCCCAAATAATTCGTCAGAGAATACTCTTAATTAAAACTCTATCAGAATTATGTATTCCGTCTACCCCCACAGATTTTATTTATAATATCGTGCATTGTCATGGTCTCCGCTCTTATCCTCTGCAAAAATTGTCCTGCGCGGACGCGCAACATGGGCACCCACATGAAAGACAAACTACCAGTTTCGAAAATGTCGAATACTCTCAATCTTCCCCTCCTTCCCCTTGATTTAGTTCCAAATACAGCCAAATGGTGTGCTCCATGGTGAACCGGAATTACGTCAAAGTGAAGTCTAGGGTACTATAATGCTAGTCTATATCTACACCACATCCCACCAATCCTATACTGGCTGCTCCAGTCAACATCTGATTCCAGTTCTGACATTCGGCACTACAAGAAAGTGTTTCTGTTTCTCCGTAAGTAATTGGGTGATCTTTTCAAGAGCCTCTAGATCAGAGAAACAGGTCGGAAGATTGTGCAACTTTACTAAGGTCAAAAGGTAGGACTTAGACACGGCTGCACCAAGGAAGAGCGACTTTGGCGTCACCGTCCGATGTAATCGGTTACATAATCGAATACAGCTACGCAAGTTGCAAAAAACAAAACCCAACAACCCCCCAAAAAACATGACAAAAACATTAAATATCGACAGCATAATCAATACGATCAAGGTGAGATTATATCGCACTTTGCACAGTCGCTGTTCCCCGGTCCAGGGGACAAGTTGCAAGCTACGACTCGATTCGGTACGGGAATGCCAGTCCAAAACGAACTCCAAAATGGATGAAGTAATTCCTTTAACAACACAACGTCAAAAAGAGACATAGGCACTAAGAAGTGGCGTCAATAAAAAAAAGATAAACACTTGGAAGTGAGTGAGAAATTCTATAAATAAATAAGTAAATACATAAACAAGTAAATAAATAAACAAATAAATAAATAATTAAATAAATAAATAAATAAATAAGTAGATCAGTAAATAACTTACTAAATAAATAAATTAATTAATTAATCGAAAAAAAGATAAATAGATAAATAAATAAAAACAATCAAAAGAAAAACAGCAGCTTAAAACGACAAAATAACCTCATTCTACCTTATTCTCTCCCCCCCCCCCCCCCTTTTTTTTCTCACCATGATCAACAGGACCAATAATAAACAAAACTACGAAAAAAACCCACATCTACGACAGACAGCACATTGTCTAAAATGAAACAAACATTTATCGAAACAACACCAACATCATCAACAAAAGTAAGTTTTTCAAACCTAGTCCCCACGCCGACACGATGGATGACAACCATTTAGTGCTTGCGAAGAGAAAGACACAGACAGAAACAACAGAGGCACAGCCTAGAAGCAGTAGGCCTATCGCTGACGTCCTCCAACCACCTGCAGTAGCTAAAAAAATGTATGAATTAAAATAACGTTCTACGAACCCATCATCAAGCGCATCATTTTACTAGAAAATACCACTTTATCTTAAGGGCCAGATAGCAGATTTCTCAGGGTCTTGGCCCAAACCACGAATGGGTTGCGTCTAAGCTATAAGCTCACTTGTAGATAGCTTGAGGCATCCATAGCACTTGACCTGTATGGCTTATCACACACAGGGCGTCTCGTTTCTCTGCCAGACGGGTGTCCGCACTAAAAGAAGAAGGAAAGAAAGAAGCCAATTAATTAACGAACCTGAACATTTCGATAACACGATACGGCTAAACAAAATTTAAAAAAAAACAACAGAAAAAACAAACAAACAAGAGACAACCCGGTTTTATTTATTACATCTCTACAGGAAGTTTGGTTCACAACATTCTCCCATGGGGCATTTCGCTGCAACTCAGGTTTTTTCTGGCAAAGCTAAAGAATAAGGAGTAGGGAGAGGGTGGGGGAGGCGGGTTAGAGTCGGGGGGTGTAGTGAACGCAGGTTCATCAAGCAACGGTGATGGGACAGCTTTGTGATAGGCGATGACTGGGATGCTTCTCTGGGTTAAAGTCTAGAAAGGTGAGCGTTAAAGAAAAGGTCGGGGGTTAACGTGAGCTTTAAAATAGGGAGTGAGGTGGGGGTGGGGGGGGGTGGGAGCCGCACCTCTGGGACCAGTAAAGGTTTACAGATTCTTGGATTTTTTTTCATTTGTGCGTTGATTGATAAGCTAAGACAAAATATACTTTATTATTAATCCCCCAAAAGCAGAAATTACCAGTGCGCTTTAACCAGCTTCTGCAATACGAAATATTATGAACCCAGTATCGCATAGACACATAATTATAACCTCTGTATTTTGTCTCTATCGCGCCTTCTCCCATAGCCCATGTCTCTTTCTTTCTTTCTTTCTCTTTAGTTTGTCTTTTTTTCTTTCTTTTTTGTTTTTCTCTCGCCCACACTAACTTATTTGTTCACTCACTCCCTCACTGCTAGACACATAACTTTGCAGATTTATAGACACACACCGGGTAAACAGATCTCCAAGAAATGAAATATGCGAGTGAACTCGTCTTCTTGTGGTGAACATTAAGCAAGTCATTGTAAAATAAATCTCTCCTCAGAATCCATTTTAAAAATGCTGTTTTATATCGTTTCTTTCTCTCTCCTGAGTTATCTTTTGCAGCAGGTTGCTGAGAAATTCTTCGTGGAGAAAACCGTTTGTTCACCTTTCTACCAGAGTTCAGTGCGAACCGCTGTTCGCGTTGGCAGTACGCATTGCTTATTAAAAGTTATGGCTCGCTCCCACTTCCCCTTGCGTTCTTTCTGAAAGGAGGTCCTCAAGATTTCACAACGATTGGGCCGGTCAGTGCATATATTAACTAACTTTCTCAACAATCTTGTGGACATACGCCAACTGTTAAGAAATCCAACTCTTTCATTTACAGATTTCCTTCCCGCTCTATAAGCACATAAATGACGTACCGGCGTATGTGGTGTAACGATTGGGCACTTCGCCGTCGAACACAGAATACCGAGTTCGATCCCCGTATAGGGAGTATTTTTATGAGTTTCCCATTTTTTCTGCTGGATTTTGGCATCGAAGATTATGATCTAAATAGTGCAAAACACCTATATAAAAAAATGAGGCACCCTGCCTATTCAAACGTCATATCCAGCGGACCCTAGAATTGAACCCAGGGTAGTGAGTCCTCCGGTTTGATCACGTGACTGCTTTACTCTCAGTGACGGTCCTACACGTCATCATAGAGCTAAAATACTTTTCATCCATCTTTGTTTGCACTCGCTGAAAAATACTCTGTATGAAGACACTGGGGCTTCATGTTTGACACTAGCGTTGAAAAAATCCACTTTGATTAACGAAAGTAAAGCCATGACTAAACCTTTTACCATTAACCCCCCTCCCCCGTTTTTCTCCATCTCGCCCCAACACACACTGAGCACACATATATGCACACACATAAACACGCACACACACATACACATAGACACTTTCCTCATCTCTCCGCATTGTCCTCTCTCTCTCTCTCTCTCTCTCTCTCTCTCTCTCTCTCGCTCTATCTCCCTATCTCTCTCACTTTCCATTCCCTTTCCAATTCCCAATAATACATTTTCCTCTTTTCGAGCACTCTCCACATCTCTCACCACAAAACAACGTAATACAACATACACATAATTGTGAACTCACTAGTTGTACAGTTTTATATCCGGGATCCAGATTTTACTGGGCGGTACCCGGATTTTCTTGACACCGCCGTGTTCCTTTGGTGACCATTTCATGTGCATGTCTTGCCAGATCTGAAAGTAAACATTGGCACACGTTTAGAGGCGCAAAAATCACTCTGGAACAGTGCAGTATTTAGTCATGTAGTTGAGGTAAACAAGAAGTAAAATGAATAGACAGAAGACAGAGACTGATCTATTTTAAATGGTTTGTGTTCTCATCGCCATAGTTTCGATAATTTAAGAGGTCGACCGCGTTGTTTCTGTTAGTCGAGCCACAGTGTGCTGATGGGATGTGGGTTTGGTCTTTCTTTGCAATCAAACATCCGCCTTCCTTATCTCTCCTCCTTTCTTCGTATGCTACTCTCTAGTAAAACATCTATTCTTCCGCTCTTATATGACCCATTTGTGCTGCAGGTGCACAAAGCTCTTACTAAAAGCTGAAAGGGATACAACATCCCAGTAAAAAAAGTCGGAAATACTTGCTAAAATAGTATTTCCTGCACAGGAAGCGAACTCCCATCTTTTGCATACAGTAGCATAGAGCCTAACCATTACACCATCGACGCTGTCGCAGACAGAGGCGATGCAATAAATTACATACCACACGCTGTTGTGGTTGTGGGCAATCCGCGTAGCCAGGAAACTTTCTTGGGGTTAATTTGGCATTATTTTTTCGCACGTAATCTTTGTGTCTACTGACACTTACACAGCAATCAGCATAAGGAAAAGTTACACGCATTCCGCATTCACAGCTCCGATTAACTGATGATGCTCATCATTCATGAAGAAATAGCTAGCCGTCAGTGAAAGTATTTGCACCTTGTATTGTTAGGTCTGCCACGATTCATTTTTTAGAAAAAACGTTTAAAAATTCGTTTCACTGTTCCAAAGATTACACGGATTACATGCGAGGAAGACTACACGCAAACATAGATGGAATAAATAGCTCGTGAACACTTCAGAGTTCCGGTTTCATGTCTCGTCGTGAAGTGTTTTTTTTTCCAAATTTTTTTTAACGCATAAATCGACACAATTTAGGTTATTAAGGAGGCGAGCTTCGACCCTGTCTGCCAGGGACAATCCGCCTTGACAGGGATACAACGTACCAGCAGAGAGACACTCAATAAAAAAAAAATTCCCACACCAGAATCGAACTTGGGTTTACTGCGTGCAGGGCTGAGCGCCTAACCGTTACACCGCAGACGCCGACGCTTCTCTTCTCACAGAAAAGGAGTCCTTAACAGAATCAAAAGCTCGTGAACAGTTCAAAGATCGTGACAGTTGCGTGACTCGTGACAGTGTATTAAAAAACCCAACTTATGACGGAAACAAGGATTTGTAAGTAAGTGTATGGGTTTAATATCCCTTTCAACACTTTTAGGTTATTTAACATTTTACGTCCATCTTCAACAGGACCGAACCAAATAGGTTGAGAGCCTTGGGCACTTCAGAAAACAACCCCAATTCAAGAACGCCAAGTCTGGAATTTGAACCAGGGCCCACCGCTCCGTCGTCCAGCCTGATACCAACAGAGCTAACGGAGTGCCCCAAAAACAACGTTTAAGATAATTATTAATTTGATGGCATTACTTTCGTCATCAAGCAGTGCTCCTAAGTTTTCAGAAAGTCATGTAAAGGAAACTTATTACTGTTTGTAATAAACCTAGTTTGTTAGCCCTTCGAAAAACGAGCTTAGATAGATTACATGTAAAACTAGAGGTAGGCTCATCAGTTAAACTGAAAAGATGTCTGTATGTTAGTGTGCCTCCCCGGGGCCAAGGGACCCATCTGATAAAAATCGAGTTTTCTGTTTTTTGTTGTGGATTGTAACACTCCTCTTGCCCATATCCTTTATGTGTCGAAAGCGGCAGAACGACATATCTACATCTGAGACAGTAGTTATTCAAAGCGGTTAAAGCTACGTTAGTTTAATGTTCTCAATCTCATTGCCAATGAAAGAGTGACATTTCAACATTACAACAGGTTAAGCGTCCACAGTGTTTTTTCTCCCTTTTCTCAAATCATTAAGTGCAGTTGTGTATTTCTGTCTTTGAGCGCCAGATTGTAAGCGTATTGATGTTGCGTTTGAGCCTTGATAGACTCAATACAAATACAATCTGTTATACATTATTAACGTTTTTACCTTTTCACAGCAAATTGCCCTTAAATGTTCAAGTACTCCCTAGACCTAAACATTCCAAAGGGCTTAATTTAACATGTCCTTAGCTCTAAATTGTAAATTCGACTCTTTATTCCAACAAGTTTGCGAAAACCATTATAGAATCACATATATTTTTTCATACGAAAGAGATTCCGAGCCCCTAGGTCAAAAAGAGTGCTGATCGTAAAATAAGGGTGTATACTTACATATCGATCCCAGACGTTGAGAGTTAGAACTTGATTCCGCTCGTCCAGATCGAGAATCTGTATAAGTTGCATGTTGTAATTTATCGTAATTGTCTCGTTGTAGTGCGATACTGGCCGGCCGTACTTGCCCCTGCGCCGGTATCGAGCCAGCAACGTCTTGATGAGCTTGTCCTCCTCTGACAACTGGATGTTGTGAGTCAGACCTGGCGGTGAGTAGGAGAGGAAAGGGAGGGGGGTGTAAGAAGGGAGGCTTGTCAGTGCGATTTTGTGTTTGTGCATGTGGCATTTTTTTTTGGGGGGGGGAGTAAGCGGAGTGGCAAATAAGATGGAGACAGTGGCAAGGCGAGGCAGTGCCTGGAAAATACAATAAGATGCCTGGTGAGGTCATAAAGGGCAGGTGTGGCGAGATGCAACAAGTAAATTAAAATGCATGTCAAATGCATAGATTATTTGAAGGATGGATATAGAATACAGTAACACACTCTATAACGAGACTAGGAATCGAATCCACGCTCTACAGTTAATATTTTGAGTTTGAGTTTGACACCAGAAGCATGGGCCAAACAGTAAGCTGTCCTATCACTACAGATAGGAATACATACGAATACAAATTAATCAACATTCTGTTTTTCAAACACGCCCTCACACACACACACAAACATACACACATACAAACACACACACAGATACACAAATACAAACACACACACACACACAAACACACACACACACACACACACACACAAACGCGCGCGCGCCCAAATAACAAAAACACAAACGCACATACATACATGTAGGCAAAAAGTCAGAGGCGTTTCAGTATGACTGTTCACATCACGCCAGACTGCATAAGGCTCAAATGGGGAAGGGGGGGGGGGCATTCTTTGATAAAGGAAAGAGCAAAAGCAGGCCGTGGTCAATCAGGTAAACTACATGTATCAAGTGGACCTTGGTTTGAATCCTCAACGAGGGGAACTCTAACTTTCAGTTATCTGAGGGATATTTAAGGCTCTCCACCTCTTTGAATTTTTGTCCTATCGGAGATGGACATCGATTCGCAGGTGTCGACTCCTTACGGGGCTCTTAAAAACACGATACAGTGTTTCGTTTAGTAAGATTTTTACACATTAGCAGCACAATTAGGTCATGCAAGAGCCTAGGTTAGAGGTGTTACACGAGATTAACAAACACAGAAAAGAAAAAGGAGAGATCTTGACAACATAAGTTTGATAGGAAAGAAGTAGTAAACACATTAGAGCCCCCGCCAACCACACGCCTACGATGCAGTAAGCTTACCTTCTATAACGTCTGCGAGTAAGAGTAGGAAGGCAATCAGTGGTGTCCTCATGGCAGATTGCTCCTGACTCGACTCTGGGAACAAAGGAAAAAACATCATCATCATCATCATCATCATCATCATCATCATCATCATCATCATCATCATTATCATCATCATCATTATCATCATCATCATCATCATCATCATCATCATCATCGTCATTATCATCAACATCATCATCACCATCATCATTTATGTCTCAAAGTAGTAAAAACAAATATACGGAGCCTTTAATGTAAAGAGGAAATTTGGAATTTTGAAACTGTCCAATGTTTCAAATTTTGGTCTTCATCGGGAGCATGAAAAAGCAAACATTACAACCATAATTATTGTCCCTTCTACCCCGGGAAATAGAAGAAAGAAAAAAAAACCCGACCAAAAAAACAACAACGGATTTGTAATTCCTAAACCAACCCCCCCCCACCCCCCTCCACCTAAAATATCCCCAAAACAGAGCAACGTTTTTTGCTCAAGGGAAGAAGTTTACTAAACGCAATCTATTTCAGGTGAACGGTCTACTGCGACACAAAAGCAATATAGTGGTAAGGTTATCTGAAAAGAAAAGGAACTCAACAAATTGTGGACTCAGTATGACGGGTATGTTTAGATTCTCAGAGTTGGCGTGCGTTTTAGTTCCAAGCACACTTTTATTCAACCGATACCCTTAATCATATAATCTTTGATTGAACAAAACCATCATCTGTGACAAGAGATTATGTTGAGAGAACAAGAGGCGAAAAAATTAATACAGAAATCCAAACAAAAACCTTTTAACAAAGAAAAGAAATAGGCTAATTTGGTAATGAATGAAACCATTAAAAGATAGGCAAAGGTTTGAACGAAAGAACAAAAATGTCAAATTAAATAATACGTCATACACCTTCCCAGGAGTACAATATTTAATATTTCCAAACCTGATCGCTACAAAGTTAACCAAGAAATGTTCTGAACATTACACAAAGCATCATATCCTCTGCCTTTAGTATCTGTCATTGGTATTGCTCTGGAGCCTGTTTTGTACCGTACTGAGGGGAGAGTAATAAATCCATTGATTGTGTGGTCCGAGAGCAGGGTCCTACAGGAGGCCCAGGAGAAAACGTGATGCGATTTGGGATTAGGTGAAGGGTCACTCTATCATATCGTCACCGACTCGCCAACTGAATATGAATGACGTCATGGGGGTTGTCAGGGAGATTGTATACGTGGTATGGACGTATAATGGTGTAAGCACTGAGAAGCTTATGGGTGCAGGAATGTCGCATACACGATACTTTACTGCTCATATAAAAAGCCAGATCAAACAAGTAAAAATCCTAACTGTGGTCGAAACGTTTGCCGTGATATAAGTCGTGATAACCCCCCCCAGATTATTACTCGTAAATGTTGTAGGTGACAATTGTATTCGATTGACGTCAAAGGTTAAGGAACACAAGGTTGAAATATCAATCCCTGAATGATATTACACCCCATACCCACTTTTTAAAATGTTAATATGCATTAATAATTTACACCTTTGGTTTAAGCGTACACTTAGCTAATTTTGAGGGACTGATTACGAATACGACATATGTTTAAAAAAAATCAAAACTTACATTGGGATTTTTAAAGATCTGGCTGGTCCTATTTTTAATAAATCCCCATACGGCCAGACTAAGACATCGAATTTGGTATTCCAACCTACTCGTCTTTTGGCGGGAGGAGTCGTGTCATTTCGGTGGACACATCGACACGTAATTCTCGCCAAATGCTGAGAAAAAAAACCCGGTACTCTTTTCATCTACGACTTCCCTAGAAACAGACTACTTTTGGTCACCTGGTTTCTGGTTTAGTGGACACGCGGACCAAGGCCATCTCTGCATTGCGTCACCGTCATCTTATAAGAACTACGAAACTAGATTAAACTACGCAAAACCAAGTACCTCACTCTCAACTCAGACTGTTTGTAAAGGGCTTTACGCCTCTCCACAGACCATGATTCCCCAAATGACCCTGCCTGTCAAGATAAACCCCAACTGAACGGGATACAGGGTGCTGAATAACATGTCTGGGGTACTTGCCGAAACAGACTTTCATTTCCCAGCATGGGAATCAAACTCACGTCTTTTGCGTGCGGCTGCAAAGAGCCTAAACATTACAATTTGTCCCCCCCCCCCCAACCCCTCGAACTCAGAGCGACATGTCTATTTCGTTGTTTGAAGTTGCTGGTAACCTTGTCAAATTAAAGGCAACATTCAAAGTATATTACCTCACGAACATAGAACAAGTAAGAGGGAGAGGGAGAGAGAGAGGGGGAGAGAGAGAGAAAGAGAGAGAAAGAGATAGAGAGAACACACACACACACACACACACAAGTAAAAGAGGTTGCACGCAAGTCATTGATTCCCTCGGAAAATGCAGAGACTTTAAATGCAGGTAGTCGATATTTCTTGTGCGCAAAAAAATATGCAAAGAAAGAGAAGTAGGTTTTGGTAAGTTGAAATCTTTATGGAAAACAGCAGCTAATTAAGAGAACGGAACAGAGAGATAATGATCGTGTAACAAACCCGAGACAATACCCTGACCCGCATTATGAAGTTGGCCGAATCTCAGAAAAGCTTCTCAAGTATTCTCCCGCCGCAGTCTCATTTCTTGCCGACGTGATAGCAGCCTGCAGCGAGCGACATGGTCGTTAATGACACGGGGAAGACTTGTATTATTATTCACAGGGGCTGTAGGCAGCCTATCGTAACTCAATGCGTTTGGCTCGTGCGTGAACATCTGGCTCTTCGGCGTTACAAGTGATGCAACTAGTGTTCTGCGTTCCCTTAGCCATATTGCCGTGTATCCTGGAACCGACACAGATGCAACAACAACACCAATAACAACAACAACAACAAAACAACAACAACAACAACAGAGGAGTACATCCGAGAAGAGAGACCGAAATACTCAATACCAGTTTTTCTCTACCCGGGAATCGAACTCCGATCTCCTGCATGCAACAACGTAGCACATAACCGTTACACCTCTGACGCCGTTTTTTGAACTACTGTTCCATCCAATGAAAGAATGCAGTTACTATAGTAACGTTGAAAAAGAGTGAAAGAGAGACAGAAGGAAAACACATACTAGTGTCCCAGAGTTCAACCCACCATTCACATAGAAAATACACATACAAGAATCCATAAACAACCACTGGCCTCAAGAAACGCATAAAGGGCTGACTGCTATTTATATGTCAGCCCCCCCC